GTGCCTTACTTAGTCTAACGATCATTTGGAATAAATCGATGAATGTGAACTTCATTTCATTTTGTCATTTGTTTCTTCGTCAGTTTCATTAGGTGACTTTAATAACACTTAAAAATCAAATATCCCCTACTTTTTTTGAATAGTATATAAAGTGGATAATCATGTTTTATCAATCAATTCGACCAAGACGGGTGTTAGACTAAAATTATGAAAGTGACAGTATTAGGCCTATAGTAAAAATATTTCATCTATTTGTGAATTTTATTTGGAAAAACAGAAACACAAACAAACGATTTTGTTCATAAATACATCAGTTTGATATACATTGTAAATATAAATTATGTAAATAAACTCTGGATATTTTGTTGGTTTGTTCATTTTTTTTTGTCTGGGGATAACTCGGTCACTTACTCAACTCTTGAGTAGATTTCTTGAAATCGTCGTTATCATATTCTTCCTCTGGTATGGCGTTTTCAGCATAGTCGTTGAAAACGTTCCGAGAATTTATCTCCAAAGAATGATGTGGTCATATCAAAGTTCTCATTAAGCAAACTTGCGTTTTCGTTAATTAAAAGGTTTTGTAGCTGTTCATTGAAGATAGTGGCGTCCATTTTGACGACTATGGTCGAACTAGCTTCCGTTCGGGTGTAGTGAACTATACTCTGCCGTTTAGTCGTGACCATACACGCGCACCCGAAGGCTGCCCAGATGAGTTTAAGAGGTTTTTTAAACTTAATGCTACAACAGTTGAGGAACTGTGTCAATTTCTAGCACGTATTCCAAGTAAAGGACTTTCAGTCTGGGAGATCACCAATTCCCTTAGAAAAGAAAGTTTTTATGACATTAAGATACTTGTCATCAAGCGACACAATTCATGACTTAAGTGATAGGTTTAATGTGACTGATTTCACCTTACTCCGTAGCAAGTCACAAGTTATTGATGCACTTATTACTCACCTGCTAAAGAAGTTTATCAACTGGCCAAAATCAAACAACCTTCGGATTCTGGTACAATGGATTTCCCGAATGTAGTTGGAGCGATTGATGGGTCCCATATCGCTATCGCAGCCCCAGCTGAAAACCCCAACTCTTACTATAATAGGAAAGGGTTTCATTCCATTATCTTACAGGCTGTTTGTAATGACGATATGCTGTTCACTGACATTCATGTTGGATGGCCTGGACGTGTACATGATGCAAAAGTACTAAAACACAGCAGCTTGTGGCAATCGGGGTTTTCTAAATGTTTAAATGGCCGTTACCACATTTTGGGAGATGCAGCATATCCGTTAAAAGAATGGCTTCTGGTTCCATCTAGAGACAACGGACATCTTACACGTCAACAAAAAGCATTTAATAAAGCATTTGCCCATACTAAAAGGTCGTTTTCGCAGACTAAAATACATTCATGCTCGGTCAATTGAGACAATTTGTTGCACCATCACCGCAGCATGCATTATTCACAATCTCTGCATACAAAAAAAAGATTATCTCCAGGATTTTTTGGAAGAGAATGCCGACGAAGAAGACAATAATTATAGACAGGTTATTATAGAAAATGATTTACAAGGACAGCTGAAAAGACAGCAGATTACTAACACCTTTTGAGAGTTTTGAAACGGTGTCATTCAATGAGTACAGCTGAAAAGACTGCATATTATTAACTCTATTTAAGAAATAAGATGAGGAAACAAATTCTTTTAACATTTATTATAATGACTTGTAAATAAACGCTAACATAATATTTCAACATTCTAACAAAAAGACTATTTTTGTTTTGTCTTGCAAATATTTTAGGAAACTTATGAGGGTTCACTAAGTTTATAGAACCAAAAAAGGACATAAATCCACTCTGGAATCTGACTAGCACCATAATACATTTAACTTCCGTACATTTAATTTTTGTAATTTGAGACAGATTTTCAAAAAGAATGTTTACACTAGTATCATATATGCTAGCTATACACCCGTGACTTAAACATTATAAAAGTCCTACTTTTCATTTTCATATATTAGCATACGAAAAAGGTAGCCATAGAGAAATAATGGAAAACCAGGAACTTTGAGTTTTAAGATGAACAACCCTCCAAACTGATTATAATCAGTCTAGCATATTTGGAATTCTCAAGTAATTTTAACCCTCTGTGGTTACAAGAATTTAGATGGCAGCTTAGAGCTCCAACTTAGATGCCTATTATTTCTTTTGGGTGACCTAATATATTCACATTTGAAAACAGAGTTGCCAGAGCAAACTTTGATAATTTTCATCAATATAATTAAATTCTGGTAAAGAAAATCTAGTTCTGTGAACTCACTGAATATGTTATTCTTAACTCTTAAACTTAACAAATGCAATTGCAATTATCATGTCTTAAAATAAAAATAAACGAGTATCTCTCCCAGTATTACAAAAACAATAATAATGATATCTCCCAGTATCACATAAAAAATAATGAAAATGTCTACATGTATAACATAAACAAGCGCTTGCCATGCAAGATATGCCCACAATTTTCATTAAGTTATGGTCCGATTATCAAAAGGAACCAAGATCTCTTGGAGACCAATATCTAAAGGTCCATCAAAGTCGAACTCAAAGGTCATTAGGGTGTTATGGTAATATATACTATTCAAAAAAAGTAGGGGATATTTGATTTTTAAGTGTTATTAAAGTCACCTAATGAAACTGACGAAGAAACAAATGACAAAATGAAATGAAGTTCACATTCATCGATTTATTCCAAATGATCGTTAGACTAAGTAAGGCACAGACTGACCATTATAAGGGTAAAATGATACCCGGGGTCAAACAGCAAAGTTACCACAGCATCACAACCAAGTCAGTAACGGGTAAATCCTCCTCTGTTTGCCAAACAAGCATTGATCCGACGTGGCATACTCCTAATGAGACGTCTAAGGTCATTTTGGTCCAGATTGGTCCCATTCCTGTTGCAACGCAGCAGCAAGTTCTTGGACATTGGCAGGACGTTGTTGACGTTGACGTAACCTCTGTCCAATCATGTCCCAGACATGCTCGATGGGGGAGAGGTCGGGACTCAGTGCTGGCCAAGGTAATGTGGTGATGTTCTGTTGTTGGAGGTAACCTGTAACGATCCTGGCCCTGTGACATCTTGCGTTGTCATCCTGGAAGATGAAACGGCGGCCAATGACGTCGTGCGAACGGCACAACATGGACTGCCAAGATGTTGTCCCGGTAGTACTGGCCTGTAACACGCCCTGCAACAACATGTAAAGCCGTTCTTCCAGCAACAGTGATGCCTCCCCACACCATAACAGAACGACCCCCAAATCGATCATGTCTGATGACGTTAACGTCTTGGAAGCGCTCGTTTCGACGACGCCACACCCTCCTACGTCTGTCCAAAAAATCAACAGTGAACCTTGACTCATCTGAAAACATCACATTGCTCCAGCGTCGATTATCCCAGTGTTGACGATCCCTACACCAACGACGTCTTGCCTGAATGTGATGATCTCTCAAACAAGGGATCACGCGAGGACGTCGGGCGCGAAGGTGACCCCTATGCAGTCGATTCCGAATCGTCTGGCCACTCACTCTCACACCATTGTCTGTTTGAAGACGAGCGCTGATCTGATTTGCTGTGATGACACGATTTCTCAAGGCCAAGGTACGGATAAATCGATCCTGGGCTTGAGTTGTCACCCTTGGTCGACCTGAGCGTGGTCTGTCCTGTACAGATTGTGTATCACGGTATCTGGACCATAGCCTGCTTATGACAGACTGAGAAACATTCATCGTCCGCGCCACAACCGCCTGTGTTGTGCCGATCTGTAGCATGCCAAGGGCACGTAACCTTTCATTTTGGGTAAGTCGACGCATATCAAAATTTGTTTTCTGGTCACTAAAACAATTAAACTGATGTTTCCACCCTGGAATTCAATGCCACAATGACTGTAACATTCAAAGTCAGAGTCGTGCAAATCTTGGGTTGGACCCCCATGATGATCCCAAGCATCACCTGCATTCCATGCGGTAGCTATTGGTGCGTTTGGGCGTCACATGTAACTGGAAATGTTTTTTCTGTTAGGTTCTATAGTGACTTTTTTCGTAGTCATTTGCATATTTTAGTATTATGCCCCCAAAATCAAATATCTCCTACTTTTTTTGAATAGTATATTTAAACCGAGATCTCTGGGATACAAATCGATATTTAAAGTTTCCTCAAATTAGAACTGAAACGTTATTAGTGTGTTATGGTAAAATATTTAACCGGTTTTAAAAAATGTGACCCCTAGAGGTACCACAAGCTAACAATGCGATTTTTTTACAATCAGGGGCTATAATCCATGGAGTTATAAAAATAATGACGATCTACCAGAAGCTAAAAATGCAATTTTTTAGTGCAATCTGGGGCCATGAAGTTATAGTCTGACCCATGCCAATATCAAAGGGAACCAAATAAAAATTATGATCTGTAAAAAAGTCTACAAATAAAGTGTAGACAGACAACTGGACGGACACATGTGACGACAATATAAGTCTACTTGAATATTTGGGCATATAAAAATATCACACAAAAAATAGAGAGTATCTTCCTCAGTATAAAAAAAACAGAGAGTATCTTGTTCTGTATCACATACAAAAATAGAGAGTATCTCCCCCAGCATCACATAAAAAGATAAAAAAGGATCGCAGAGTAAACATCTGCGGTATGGAATTAGGTCACGAAAAATGATTAAATTCAAAGTCTGTCACTGTAAAGTGTAGACAGACAACTGGACGGACACATGTGACGACAATATAAGTCTACTTGAATATTTGGGCATATAAAAATATCACACAAAAAATAGAGAGTATCTTCCTCAGTATAAAAAAAACAGAGAGTATCTTGTTCTGTATCACATACAAAAATAGAGAGTATCTCCCCCAGCATCACATAAAAAGATAAAAAAGGATCGCAGAGTAAACATCTGCGGTATGGTATTAGGTCACGAAAAATGATTAAATTCAAAGTCTGTCACTGTATTTTTATTTTTTGGCTACGTCCTTCAATACACCAACCAAATAGCTCCATCTTCTCACTGTGTCTTTTCTTGGCCTCGGCCTCCCTTTTCTCGAAGTTAACTTCCAAATAATCCAGCATATGATCAATTGATCTTTTCTGATTCTTCTTCTTCTTTGTAGAGGTGTCACCTGTCAAAATATGTTAAGAAAATATTTTAAATCAAGGTTATACAAATGTATGATCAGTTCACAGGTTTGTCGGACAAGGGGAAACAAATGGTATGGAAGGTCACAGAACGCTAAATATCAATAGGGTTCGTCCCCTTATGACTACAATGCTTCACACCAAATTATGTTGAAAACTAGCCTCTATCATGTTCACAAGCCAATTGTTGACGGACAGACGGGCTGACGACTATAGTATATACGCCCAAAAACAATATATGGGAGAAAAATCGTTTCTAATAATACAGCTCAGATTGACTGACACAAATTATGCATCTGGAACATTAAGCCGTGAACATATACTGTACTTTCTATTTCTGGGCAAAAACCTCGCTTTGTGCTATGATATGGTTTGAAATTTATATCCACTTCTTGCCCATTTCTTCACCCTTCAATGCCTCTTGAACAGTAAGAAGATGTAGATGGTTGATCTTGATCTTTAGGTTTCACTTCCAGGTCTTCCAGATTGCCTGAGTCAATGGTAAAAGTCGGTCTCATATCGGGCAAAGAATCAAACACAGATTCAACTTCGGACAGATCATCTTCAGAGGGTGGTGATTCACCAAATTTCTTCATTTTTTTCTTGTTTCTGTCATATTTCTGTTTTAGAGATTTTACTTTTAAGCGGCACTGCTCAGCATTAAAATTGTAGCCATATTCATTAACCTTCAGTGCAACTGTCTTCCATTTACATTTCTGGGGTTTACCGGAGTCTACTACTTTAAATATGTGCAGTAAGAGCTTTTCTGTTGTGTCGTTCCACAGACTTGGATTGCACTGAAAAAATAAAATAAAACCTGCTTAAAATGTTGGCAGTCTACTTACTAAACACCTTGAAAAGATACTGAGGTGGATAGAGAACAATCTAGTTAGAACCAGACTAAGATCGGGTACAAAACTTCCCTTCATCGTTTGTGATGAACTCTAACCTGTGTCACATCAAAGAGTACGCGTGTGTCTATAACCTGATAATGTTACAGTGAATGATCAATTGGGCACTTGCAAGATCTTGCAAGCTGATCTGTGATTGGATGTCGATCAGACATTTTGGCCTACTAAGGTGGATAAAGAACAATCTGGTTAAAACCAGACTACAAAACTTCCCTTCATCGTTTGTGATGAACTCTAATCTGTGTCACATCAAAGAGTACGGGTGTTGAAGGTAGTGATCGACAGTCGTTGGCCCGTTGCAACTACCAGGGACCAAGATAATACCACCCCGCGCCCCCGATGTGTCTTAGACGCACCGATAGAGTCAGAGGCTCCGGTAGTGTCAGAACAGGTTACGGACTCAAATTATTCCCCGACTGCGAGTGAAGTGGCAACGGACGAAGTTGCCGTCATTCCGACCGATCTTCCCGAAGCCAGTGACAACGAGGACGTTCCAGCTACTCACCCCGATGCGGAGAGTAGTCCAGAGATAGCCTCTTGCACAAGACACCACAGACAAACTCTTCCGATTATGTCCTCTAGTAGCGAGGATGAGTCTGAAAGCGAGTCGAACTGAACAATCCCCAGACAAGGCATTTGCTGAAGGGCGATACCTATAGGGGGACAACTTGTGTTGGTCTCATCCGTAGGATAAGAAAGTCTGCTGGTTTGTGCCTGGAGCACAGAAGAGGGCAAGGGCGACGCTCACTTGTTTTCCCTTTTAAGCATATAATGCGGTACTAGGCCGAAAAAAAGAAAGAAGCGCGACAATAAAGGTAAATCAAGTTGCAAAATTACTCGATTTCATTCAAAAGAAGCACAATATGGGCACGAGTACAGCAAACCCGAAGTGCCTGTATCAGCAAGACACTTTTTTTTGATTATTTTGATGGGCTCGCGCACGACCTCGATGGCAAAGGGAATGGATGCAGCAAATCTCAAAGTGAATTGTCACTAAAGACAACCGAATTCCACTGTCTTTGAGTAAATCTTATGTGTCTTGTGGCCCACAAGTCGGTTACGGCGATGAAGAGGTGTCAATATTGGTCCATTATAGGGTCTCCGAGCTCGAAGACCAGCAGCCTGCAAGCGATTTCGAACAGTTTGTGCAGTGACAAATCTGTTTCTAAGATGACAGAAGAGGGCAAGGGCGACGCTCACTTGTTTTCCCTTTTTAAGCATATAATGCGGTGCAAGGCCGAAAAAAAAGAAAGAAGCGCCACAATAAAGGTAAATAAAGTTGCCAAATTACTCCATTTCATTCAAAAGAAGCACAATATGGGCACGAATACAGCAAACCCGAATGCAAGACACTTTTTTTAATTATTTTGATAGGCTCGCGCACGACCTCGATGGCAAAGGGAATTTATGCGGCCTGCAAGCCGTAGTTATCACATTTCCCATCCGGATTTTAAGGAACACGCCAAGGTTTTGCTCGAAAGATTGGCGGTGATGGTCAAAAACAACCACAGCAGGATATCCGTTGCACACACGCAGCGGCAAATCCAACATCAGACTGAAGGGGTGCAATACGACATTGCTGCGTTGAGGGAAGAGTTGGAAAAAAACGTTGAAATTAACGATCGATTGACCACAATTAGGGACAAATTGACGCGCAGTGGTGGTCGAATTGATAATCAAAGCGACTTCATTTTTTCACGAGATACTTGTTCAACCATCTTCAGATGGCTGGCATTCAAAGGGTATCGATGTCTGAGGGTCTGACCGTGAGGGAGTTTCACAACGCCAAGAAATGTTTGCCGGAAGAGGGAGATGATATGCTACTCACAAAAACGACAATCGAAATCCTGGTAAATTTGTGATCCCGTCGGAGGTGCATCGCTTGATGGACTTCTATACTCAGCCAAATTAAAAACTTGACACTCGGGATTTTTGGGACTAGATTTTTAATATTTGGTTTAAGGCAACTTTTTTAGTGTTATGTTGTGCACATACGACCTTGACATCAACAGAAAGCAAGAATACGTCTCACCGAAAGTCCTTGAAATTGATAACGTTCGTGATGTCACAGTACCCCCCAAAATAAAATTCACAGACTTGGGGAACAATCGGAATAAAGTGTTTAGAAACGGTTGTGGCCTCCTCTAGCATCTCGTACTGTCACACAACGTCTTCTCATGGATCTCAGAACATTAGTAAACACTACCCGAGGAAGACGTCGCCACTGCTCAGCAAGAGCATGTTGAAGGTCCTGCAACGTCAGTGGTGGATTCACTTGCTGACGAACACGTCGACCCAGTTCGTCCCAGATCTGTTCAATAGGATTAAGGTCGGGGCTAAGCGACGGCCAATCCAGGACTTGGACACCATGTCTCTGCATAAACGGAAGAAGAACAGGTTGCAAAATCTGATCCCTGTACTTGGACAGCATTTAAGTTCCCTTGGACAACAACAAGAGGAGAACGTCCATGTGGACAAAAAGAACCCCAAACCATGACGCTGCCGCCACCAAATCGGTCAACTTCTCTGACGCATACTTGAGCGTAACGTTCACCTCGTCTGCGATACACTCGGACCCTGCCATCGGCAAATCTCAAAGTGAATCGAGATTCGTCACTAAAGACAACCGAATTCCACTGTCTTTGAGTAAATCTTATGTGTCTTGTTGGCCCACACAAGTCGGTTACGGCGATGAAGAGGTGTCAATATTGGTCCATTATAGGGCCAATTGTTAGTAATGAAATTCAGTCAGCCGCTATTGCTAAAGTTAATCCTAATTATAATTTTAACCGTGATCTTTTACAGTCTCTTAAGAGACCTCAAATTGATGTCAAAAAATTTGGAGGTGATCCAATTGAGTAGATGATATGCTACTCACAAAAACGACAATCGAAATCCTGGTAAATTTGTGATCCCGTCGGAGGTGCATCGCTTGATGGACTTCTATACTCAGCCAAACTAAAAACTTGACACTCGGGATTTTTGGGACTAGATTTTTAATATTTGGTTTAAGGCAACTTTTTTAGTGTTATGTTGTGTACATACGACCTTGACATCAACAGAAAGCAAGAATACGTCTCACCGAAAGTCCTTGAAATTGATAACGTTCGTGATGTCACAGTACCCCCCAAAATAAAATTCACAGACTTGGGGAACAATCGGAATAAAGTGTTTAGAAACGGTTGTGGCCTCCTCTAGCATCTCGTACTGTCACACAACGTCTTCTCATGGATCTCAGAACATTAGTAAACACTACCCGAGGAAGACGTCGCCACTGCTCAGCAAGAGCATGTTGAAGGTCCTGCAACGTCAGTGGTGGATTCACTTGCTGACGAACACGTCGACCCAATTCGTCCCAGATCTGTTCAATAGGATTAAGGTCGGGGCTAAGCGACGGCCAATCCAGGACTTGGACACCATGTCTCTGCATAAACGGAAGAAGAACAGGTTGCAAAATCTGATCCCTGTACTGGACATCATTTAAGTTCCCTTGGACAACAACAAGAGGAGAACGTCCATGTGCACAAAAAGAACCCCAAACCATGACGCTGCCGCCACCAAATCGGTCAACTTCTCTGACGCATACTTGAGCGTAACGTTCACCTCGTCTGCGATACACTCGGACCCTGCCATCGGCAAATCTCAAAGTGAATCGAGATTCGTCACTAAAGACAACCGAATTCCACTGTCTTTGAGTAAATCTTATGTGTCTTGTTGGCCCACACAAGTCGGTTACGGCGATGAAGAGGTGTCAATATTGGTCCATTATAGGGCCTCCGAGCTCGAAGACCTCGCATTTTACCGCGTTGTGGGTAGAAGCCAGGCGGCATTTGAAAACACTCGAATAATGAACAATGTTATCAACAGCAGTTCAGCGCCCAGGTGGCGACCCCATTTGTTGTGAACTCGGGGACTAGTTCATCTGGAGTCATGGCTGTCGGCGATCCACGCGAAGTGAACTCGGAAGCTAGTACAACTGGTGTTGGCGTCTCGGGCCCTGGTGTCAGAACAATATCCGTCAGATCCGTCTCCATCGTCGGTATGTTCATTCCCTTCGGTATCGTCGGTTTGGTCAGATGTGATGTCGCTTGATGACATAGTCAAGATACTGCACGGAGCCCTATTTCAAGGCATATCCCGCTGGTCCCGACGAGTCCGTACCCACCAAGGCAATGGCAGGTACACTTTTCAAGGGTACGGATTTTTCAGCAAAGTTGATGAGGAGCAAAAGAAAAAGACGGTAAAAGATACATTATGGGAGATATTAATAGAGAGTTGGCCATTCTTGCTATAACAGTTCAAAATATATGATGAAAGAAGAATGTATTGAAAATTTCAAATTACTTTATTCTGAACAAAGTTATCACTATTGTAATTTTTAACTAGAAATGGGAGTCAACTCTCTCTTCACCGTCTCTGAGAATAGACAATCGTTTGATTGACAGGCGTTAACTTCACCTACATAATCTCGATTATCAAGTAACGTTTTCAATGGCTGTGGTTTGAGACGGGGTTGCAATTCAATTCGTATCACTCATTGACCACTGCTGAGGCATTTTACCGCGTTGTGGGTAGAAGCCAGGCGGCATTTGAAAACACTCGAATAATGAACAATGTTATCAACAGCAGTTCAGCGCCCAGGTGGCGACCCACTTGTTGTGAACTCAGGGACTAGTATGTAGACTTCACACAAAAATGACCCTAAAAGAAATGACCATTAACGCCTCTCTAGTAGGTCTGGGATGTACGGCTTTACGTACATCCCAGATACTAAGGACGTATTACGTAATTATTCGCACGAGTTTTTTTGGTATGTTTTTGATGTTGTCAAACGCGCTGGTCTAGTTCCAATTGAAATTTATAGTTTTGGTAGGACACAATTTTGTATGTAAACTAAATTTCTGTAAAAAAGTAGATAAAACACCCCTAATGTGGCTAAACTTTCCTTCCAACTAAGTCATATATTGAAAATCTACAAAATCCAGTTCTCGGTATACTGATATATCATTGATCAGAATTCGACAAGAGCAGTATTGTTAGAAAAACAGAAATTGTTAGAAAAGAGACAGCAACTAGAGAAAGAGAAATTAGAGATAAAACTACGCGAAGAAAAACTAAATCTAAAGACCGAAGTGGCTATCGCAGAAGCAAGAACTAATGTTATAGATCGTGAACTTTCAAAAAAGGGTTCTTTACACTCCTGTCAAACTTTATGTTAAACAATTACATGTCAATTTAAGCAACTCGAGTGGTGTTCCAAATTTTGTAAGTAACCAAGATTGTAAACCTTTAAAAAAGGACTCTTCATACACTTGTCAAACTTCTGATAAGCAATTAAGTGTCAATCTAAGCAACTCAAATGGTGCTTCAAATTTTGTTAGTAATGAAATTCAGTCAGCCGCTATTGCTAAAGTTAATCCTAATTATAATTTTAACCGTGATCTTTTACAGTCTCTTAAGAGACCTCAAATTGATGTCAAAAAATTTGGAGGTGATCCAATTGAGTATAATAGGTTTATGAGACAATTGAATTCCAATGTTTTGATATTCTGTGACAATTTTGAAGACAGGCTTAATATTTTAGAAAATTATACTTATGGTCAACTCCACCGCATTGTCTCTGGACTCAGTTATCTTAATGCTGAGATAGCCTTTAATTCTGCCCTTAGAGAATTTGATGAACGCTATGGTGATACGGATATTATTGCTTCAGCCTTTGTTAACAAAGCATTAAAGTGGCCTTCTATCAAATCTGATAATGCAAAATCATTGGACGAATTTGGTATTTTCTTAACAGAATGTTTAAATGCTGTCAAAAACATTAATTCTGTAAAAATCTTAGATTATGCTGAGAATCTAAAGCAATTAGTCAGTAAGTTGTCTTATTATCTTCAAGATCGGTGGAGAAATGTAGCTTTAAGGGTTAAGGATGCTAATTGTATTCCCTCTTTTGAGGATTTAGATTTAGTTTATCCTCGAAGAATCTAGAAAATTATCAGATCCTATTTATGGTAAAGATGCCATGCAGGCAATTTGTTCCCCAGTACAACCCCCCAACTTCAGAGGTCACAACACTTTAGTCAAGCACCACAAAGACAGAGGTCTAAGAATTTTCATTAGAAACTCATATGTCACTATTGTGGTGAAAAACATTTTATTAATGATTGTGGTATTCGTGACGAAGACCTTTGCTTCGGTTGTCTTAAACCTGGACATCAACGTTATCGATGTTGGTATAAATTAGACTGTGTTAAGTGTAATGTAAAACATCCAACCATATTGCATAATGATAAAATTGGGGCAAAGGGTGGTTCTCATATGGAGTTGACTATGCACATGTATAATGCCCATAGTACCAGTTAAAGTTGTAAATGGGTGTAAAATTATGCTTTCAATGATCCTGGTAGCAGTGTGTGCTTCTGCACGCGTACTTTAATGCATGCTTTAGGTTTAAGTGGTAAACAAACTAGTATTAATTTACAAACTATGAATAATTATAATAGTATTCCTACTATTGTATTAAGTAATATCAAAGTTTATAGGTATAATATGTCAGATTCTATTGTTATTAAGAATTGTTACACTGTTGATCAAATTCCTGTGACAAAGAGTGATGTTTTAGTTAGTGATATCTCAAAGTATCCACATCTTAAAGATACTGACATCCCAGATTTAAACTGTGGTGTAGGTTTGTTAATAGGTAATAATGTTGTCGAAG